AAAGACTTCATCAGTCCAAGGAGCCACAACAAACTCAGTCCCACACGCAGCACACTCACATAGTGGGCCAATTAGTTTGCTGGTGATAAGATGGTTTCTGGGGCCCGCCCTCTCGGACTGATAAAGTCCTTTGGATGAAGGATGAAACGTCTCAACAAAAAAAAAAAGAAAAGAAAAAGAAAGAAACCGTCCAGATGACCTGACTTAACTTTGTAGGATTTTTAACCTGGATTATTGAGCATGAACTTTGATCTTTTGAACAGCTATTAATTAATTTTTCTCACCCTAAGATGGTTTTAGTTTAACCCTTTGTTTTAGCTTTATGCCTGTATGATAAAAATAGTTTAGCTTAACTGACCGGTGCTGAGAAAACACAGAAAAATCAAGGTATCACCAAAATACACTCAGGTTTTGTCCTGTCAGAGGTACAACACTAAAGTACTATAACCTTCCAGCTGCCCTTGGATCAAAATGGTTAAAAATGAGTGCACAGTTGTAACTTCTTGACTTTTTATCCATTGAGATTTTCCCATTTTGTTTTATTACTAAAGAGCAGTGGAGTTCACCCACTTTTCTGTATAAACACGCCCACCAAGTTCTGACCAACCGAACCAAACTTGAGTTGTACCCCTGTGAGAAAAAACTTCAGCCAGGAGCTTATGCAAAGAACAAGTTCTCTTGATGCCTGCAAGATCTAAAGGACATGATTATTGTCTCGCAACTGTGTCGGTGAGAGCAGAGTTCTGCGTAACGGAAAGTATAAATCAGCCTTAAACCCATTAAACATGTTGGACAGGAGTGGAGTGGGATTATTGGGTGCATGGCAACCCTCCAGTTGCCTCAGATTATTTAATTAGTAAGAAAAACGTGAAAACAGAGGAGCTTCTTGGCACAAAGAGACAGAAGAGAACAAGGACATGCTTCTTCTGTTTAGATTAATCAGGAGGAAATTGTTCAAGTTTTGCTTGAATGACCTTCATTTCTCCCATTTATGGTGTGAGTTTTTGAAGCTGAAGTATTTTCTATGTTATTTGCAATTGTTTAAAGTTAATAAATGTACAGTTATGCACACTTTATACTTAGACGTATTTTGCCACACCACGGGCCCTTTCTGTGCTTTATTGTATCTTTACCATAGAGTTAAAGAAATAAAAACACTCATTGTGTAAAACTCACTTTCTGAAGAAGTGCATGTGTTTTTAGAATGTATGTGCTGAAACAGAAAAAAAAAAATTAAATTCCAGTTTAATATTAAACAAATGTTCTTAGTTTTTAAATACTTAATTTTAAAGTGGGATACTTAATTAATTTATACACAAATAAAAAGGACTCCCATGGGCCTGAATGGTTCATTGTTTAAATATTAATAAAGGTGTTGTACACTATAAAGCACAGGAATACTGTACTGACTTTTCATTTGCTCTGAAATGTAAAAATAACGGCCCTGTGATGGACTAGAGACCTGTCCAGGGTGTCCCCCCGCCTCTCGCACAGTGACTGCTGGACATGGACACTAGTGCGGCCCAGAAAGATGAAACAGATAAAGAAAATGAATAAATGGATGTAACGATACCAAGAAATGTCAGTAATTTAGTACAGATTTATATAATGCAGCACATTATTTATATACTGTACACAGTATTCACAAGAACTAGTTGTTGACCGAGACTGACTGGGTGGCCCACGGACCAACAGTTGAATATCATAGATGTAGCATATTTTACAGCTCTGGACATTTTTTATTTAGTGATTGTAAAGGTTGTAGGCATCCATCCATCCATCCATCCATCCATCCATCCATAGTCTGTATCTTAGATCCTTATATACCGTTTCTTTTTATACTTTATATTTTTGCTATTTTGGGGTGTAATTGGGACCCTGGTACATAATTTTATTCGACCTCATGTCTTGAACTTGACTTGATACATACATACTGTATATACATACATCAATCCCATCCATCTATCAATCCCATCAGTCCGTCCGTCCTTCCGTCCTCTCAGCGAGCAGGTCCCTGGTTCAAACCCCGGTCCAGGGGCCTTTCTGGGTGGAGTTTGCATGTTCTCTCAGTGCATGCGTGGGTTTTCTCCGGGTACTCTGGTTTCCTTCCACACACCAAAAACATGCATGTTAGGCTGATTGGTAACTCTAAATTGTCCCTAGGTGTGAGTGAGAGAGTGAATGGTTGTTTGTCTCGTTTGTCTCTATGTGGCCCTGTGATGGACTGGAGACCCGTCCAGGGTGTACCCCGCCCCTCACACAGTGATTGCTGGACATGGGCACCAGCGACCCCCGTGACCCAAAATGGAAGAAGC